CCCACTGCCGCAGTCGATTCCAACTCACAGCGACCCTAGAGGACAGAGTGGAACTGACCCATCCCATGGAGTGGATGGTGGGTTCAAACCACTGACCTTTTGGTTAGAAGCTGAATGCTTTAACCACTGCACCACCAGACCTTCTCTACCAGTGTGAAGCAAACATCAATTAACCATGTGTCAGTTCTGATTTCATGACTCCCCCAAAGTAGAGTTTATTTTCAGTCTCTGAGATCTCATTCAATTTCTGTTCACTGTAAATTTGCAACTAAAATAGAGAGTAATCTTGTTACCTTAATATAAGGAGAGAGGGAGACTGCAGCTGTGATAGAAAATTAGCTCTTCACCAGAAATTACAAATGTAACAAGATTAGCAGACAAAGGCATTAAAACAGTTCAAGAAGGGAAAGAATGAGCATATTAGGTTAAGATAAGGAAAATCTCTAAAAAGACACAAATTCAACTTCGAGAAGAAAAATGCATACCTGTGATGAAAAATACACTGGGTTAAACATGGTGGAAGGAAAGATACACTGAAATTGAAGATGTAGTGATAAATTTCCAAATTGATAAACACTGTAAACCCACAGATCCAAGAAGGTCAACAGAGCGAAGCACAATTAAAGGAAACTACACCTACTCCTGTCATAATCAAATTGTTTAATTTCAAGGATACAGCAAAAATGTTCAAGGCTGCCAGTATTCAGAGAGGCCCTCCTTCCATCGCCCCACCAAAATGTACTCCCACTGGGAGAGTTGATGTCTCTGTCTCCCCCTCCTGGCACAAGACACTTTTTCAAGTCTCCCCTTTCTCCCCCTCCTCCATTCGCCTATTCCTTGAGGCTTAATTGTGGGGAGCGAATCTTTGCTGTGGTTGACACAAGAACGAATAGATGGAATTTTTTGGTTCTTGGGGGAGGCCACCTCAAGCCTCAGTCCCCACTCCAAGGGCACCTTTGAGACAGCCACAGTGGATATCCTTCCCAGACAGGCCCTCTTCTCCAGTGTCAGCTCTGTGACTGGATAGGCTACAGACTTTGGTAAACAGTCCCCCAGCCTTCCCTCTCATGGGTACTGAGTGGGTGTGGCACACCAAGGAAGGATAAGCAGGTAGCCTTGTTTTGGGGATACGAGCGTTTTAACAACGTTTGCCGAATTCCTTTACAACTAAATAATAGATTTGTTATCAGTAAAATTGGTGAAGAAAGGGAAAGATGGAAGGGAAAACAGATGTAGCGTACAGGGGGGGATAACAGCAGACTTCTCACTGCAGACTATGCAACTGTGCAAGCTAGAGGGTGGGGAAGCCCATCTATACAGTACTGGGGAAAAACTGTCAAGCTGACTTCAGTATCTAGAGAAAGTATCAACAATTAAGGCAAAATGCTTTTTCCAGATGCATAAAAGCCAAAAGAAGTCATATCAGCAGACCAGCACTAAGAAATTGTGAAGGAAGTCCTTCAGACAAAAATTAAGGAACCAAGTAGAAAAGGGTATCCACACCAGTCAGCCTTGGTACTGCTGACGTACTGGACTGGATCGTTAGTTGTAGGGGTTACCCTGTGCATTGTAGGATGTTAATAGCAGCATGCATGCCCTCTACTCACGAGAAACCCAGAAGCACCAAATGTCTCCAAACATTTCTAAATGGTGCCTGGAGAGTAAAATCATCCCCAGTTGAGAATTACTGTATTAGATGGCTGTCTTTTTTTCCATATTTTCCCATCTATTTTTTGAGCTAAAATCAGAAAGGATCCCTAGATTCAGGCATTTAGCTCTTCACTCTTCAGCTATGTCCATCCTGGTATTCAGTGCATCTATTGAGTGTTTTTGATTTCAACTATTACAGTTTTCACATCTAATATCTCTTACTTTTCCATTGTTGCTTGTCTTGTTTCATAACCACTTTTGTTTTTCATAATGTAGTATCCACTTACCCCTCTGCAGGTTTTTCCTTTAGTAAAGGTACATTCTGATAGCTCTTAATTTTCTCCTTAGGTGTGAGTTCTGTTTCCTTTGCTATCTCACTTTCATGAAGTTTGCATGCCTCAGATGTTTGGTGAGTCTTGACTGGGCATGTATCTTTGTAGTTGAGATAGCCTGTTAGATTGTGTTGCATCTGTTTGACCAGCCCACCTTGAATGGGGGTAACTGCTAGTATGTCAGCATCATGAGCTGCTTTTAATAAGAGTGGAAGGCAGACAAAATAAGTAGCAATTGGACTACCTAAGAAACTCTGTTTCTTCTGGGTATCACTAGCCATGAGGGGCATTTCTTTGTAGCTCTGATTCCACTCCTACGCTCACAATACCCCCCTGGAGACACAGCATTCTCTTATTACTGCCTAACTGATGGAAGGAGCACTTGAGATGAATCACTTGTCAGCTGTTCTGGGCTCTTTGCAGCTCTCATCTTTAAATGTTGCATTGTGTGTCCCAGTACTGTTTTTCCATTCAAGTAGTGACTATAGTAAATGAAGCGACAGGTCCCTGTTCTCACAGAGCTTACAGTCAACGGGTGTGTGTGTGTGTGGGGGGGTGACAGATAAAAGCATTTAAGTACAAACAGAGTGCCGCAACTACAAGGGTGCCTCATGGAATTTGTACACCTTGCCCAACTCCTTGCTGGCTCCTGCTGCTTATTCCTCAGTTCCAAATCTTCTCATATCCCAGCCACCTCACATCCGAGACCCATCACATCCCATCCTCCTCAGTTCCTGGTCTCCTTGGGTCTCAATCTCCTCAAGTCTAGGTCTCCTCACATCCCAGTCTACTCAGGTCCTGATCTCTTCAGATCTCGGTCTCCTCACATCCAAGTATTTCATGTTGATGTCTCCTTTTGTCCTAGTCTCTTCACACCTAGGTCTCCTCAGGTCCCAGTCTCCTCATGTCCAGGTCTTCTCATGCCAGTGTCTCCTTAGGTCCCAATAGCCTCATATCCTGGTCTCAGGCCCTGGTCTCTTCACACCCAGGCCTCCTCATGTCAATGTCTCTTCAGGTCCCAGTCTCTTTTTTTTTTTTTTGCTATCTCTCAGTTTTATTGAAGGATAAGATACATCTGGCAAAGTATCAGAATCATAAGATATACAGCCAACGAATTAACCCAAGATGAACATTGTTTTGCAAATACCACCCAGCCTAACAAATAGAGCATCATCAATCCCCACTCACATTGTTTCTCCATCACTACTCCTCCACAAAGGCATAAAAAAACCTCCTAGGTTATAGTGTTAGGCTGTGCCACTGTCTTTTTCTTTTCTTTTTCCCTCCTCCTCTTCTCTAATTGTGATTTGGGTGAAAGTTTACAGAGCAAATTGGTTTTCCATTCAACAATTCATACACATTTTATGACGCTGATTGCAATCTCCACAGTGTACTAGTACTCTTCCCAATTTCTCCCAATATTTACCATGTTCCTTTGTCCTTTCCTGTCTCTTCCTGCCTCCTGAACTTTATCCCTGGGCAATTGCTGCCCTTCTGATCTCATACTGTGGATTGTTCTAATTAGTGTGTACCCCCTGGTATTATTGTTCACTTTATAAGCAAGTCCATTGTTTGGCTAGGATCTCTGGTGGCATAGTGGTTAAAGTATTTGGCTGCTAACCAAACCCACCAGTGGCTCTGTGGTAGAAAGATGAGGTAGTCTGCTTCCATAAAGATTTACAGCCTTCAAAACTCTATGGGGGCAGTTGCACTTCTGTACTAAAGGGTCACCGCTGTGAATTAGAATCAACTCAATAGCAGTGTTGTTGTTTTTTTTTTTTTAAATAACTCAGCTGAAAGTTGAGCCATGAGGCTGAGTTCAGTTCCAGGTTTGAAAGGTGCCATGGTCTAAGACCAGTCTCTATTAAATAATCAGTGAGCCTAGTCTTTCTTATGATTCTGAGTTTTGGTCCACATTTTCTCCACTCTGTCTGGGACCTCCTATTGTAATCCCTTTCAGAGTGGTCAGCATTGGTAGCTGAGTACCATCTAGTTCTAGTCTCAGCGTCATGGTCCATTCGTCCTTTGGACTATTTCCTAGCCTCTTTGATTTTCTTGACTCCTCTGTGCTCGGGATGGGGAGAGACCATTAGTTGCACCCTATGCAGCCACTTGCAAGCTTTTGAGATCCTAGCCATTACTCGTCAAAGTAGGGTGCAAAACATTGTCTTTGTGGACTATGTTATGCCAATTGACTTTACTGTCCCCTGAAACTGTGGGCCTGAGCCCCACGCCCAGTGACTCATTCCCTCACGGTGTTTGGTTGTGCCTAAGAAATTAAGTCTCAGTCTCTTCACTTCCAGATCACCTCATGTCAGTATCTCCTCAGGTTCCAGTGTGCTCAGATGGGGGTCTCCTCAGGTCTAGGTCCCTTTATGTTGGTATCTCCTCACGTCCTGGTTTCGTCATGCCAGGTTCCTGTAGGTCTCAGTCTCCTCAGCTCCCGGTCCCCTCATGGCTACATCTCCTCAGGTCCACGTGTCATGTCCAAACTGTCCAAGCTCTCGGCCAGACCGCTGACTGCCCGGTTGGCTCTACCTAGAGAGTGAGCTCTTAGGTCTCTCGCAACACGCTCCAGAGGCTGCATCCGTAGGAAGCGAAGAAGGTGAGCCTCAGCGAAACCGGGCGACTTACGAGGAGTCTCAACCAGAGCTCAGGAGCGCTCCTGCCAGAAGCTACCACCACGCCCCGGCTCCGCCCCTCTGTGACTCGCCTGAAGCACCACCCAACCACTCAGTCACCTGACCTCGCGCAGCCAATCGCCTTGCGCCGCGGGCTTCCCCCTCCTGAGAACCTGCCCCTTACCCTCGGCAGCGCGAGGATTGGCTTGGCTTGCGCAGCTCAGCCAATCCGAACGCGCCCCGAGCTCGCGGCCCTGCCTCCTCCGCGCGCGCCCGCTCGTCGGCTCTCACGCGAGGGCATGCGGGCAGCTAAGGACATCACCGGCGGCGGAGGGCGGGCCGGCCTGGGATGGCTGCGTGTACGGCAGCGAGGGCCGCGCGGGGCCACGGAGAGGAGAGCCCACCGGAGAGGTGCGCCTGGAGGGCGCCGGCTGGTGGTGACCCTTGGGGCTCTCGCGGGTGTAGCAGGGCTGGCATCCGGGGAGGCCGAATCGGCCCTGGCGCGAGAACGATCGGATGCGTGGCGCAGCCTGAGAGGGCTCCCTGGGAGGGGACCCTGGGGCTTAATCTTGAGGGACAGCCAAAGGCAGCCGTGCAAGCCCTGAGGACAGCATGGCGGGAGGTTCTGCTAGGGCCCGGGGCCCCCGGGAGTGCCTGCCGGTGTGTGGCCGGAGGGAGGGGATGCTGCCAGCGAGATAACGCAGGCTCAGCGCGCGGCGCCACAGAAAGGACTGGAAGGGTTATTCCGAGGAGGACGGGCCATCGGAGGCTGGAGCAGGGAGTGGTGCAACCTACTTCTGTTCTAGCGGAATCCTTCTGGCTACTTTGTGGGGAGTGGGGGCGGGGTGGGTGTGGGGATGAGGGAGGAAGCAGGCAAACCAGTTGGTTATTATTCGTAATAATCCAGGAGGAAGTGGTAGCTTGGACTCGCGTGGTGGCCGTGGGGGTGGGGAGAACGGGTGCATTGCGGACGAATTCACAAGATTTGTCCAAAGCAGCGGGTGTAGGGGAGTGATCGTTAAGGCTATTTCCCGGGCTGCTGGCCTGAGCAACCGGGAGGTAGGCTGGCGCCTGTGAGCGGGTGGGTGGTGTGTGTGTTGGGCAAGGAGCCCCTGCTTCACCCTCCAAGAACCACCTCCCGTGGGGGAAGGGGGAGGGTGTGCAGTTCTGGGTTTTTATGAGTCATTTTTGTCCAGTTCAGGAATAGTCCACCACCCAGGCCTAGAACATCGGGGGGGGGGGGGGGTCTGTGTCGGTGTCTGGGATCCGAACCTAAATCCGACCTTTTTAGCCAGCCTACTTGTGATTGGGAGCTCTGGTAGCATAGTGGCTAAGACACTTGCCTGCTAACCAGACGGCTGGCGGTTCAAACCCACCAGCCACTCCTTGGAAGGAAGGTTGGGCAATCCTACTTCCATAGTGATACTGCCTCGGAAACCCAAGGAGGGGTCGCTAAGAGTCGGGTTTGACTTGACGGCAAACAACAACAACAACAACTTGTGACTGGGAATGAGAGAGCCAAAACAATGCCCTCTGGTGGACTGAGTAGAGAAGACGTTCCACCTTTTGTATTATTTTACTAGTTTTGGTATTGATAGCACTTTAAGAAAATACCAAAAATGGAGCAAAGTGATAGGTAAAATATTCTATAATTCAAGCCATAAATGAGCTGAGCAATGCAGCATATTGAAATGTTTCTATTACCCAGCAAGTACTAGCGAGCTGGAGGTCGCCTGGGCTTCTTATTGGAAAGGAGAGCCATCCCTGTACAGGGGTGCATGTGCGAAGTCATAGCCCGACCAGTGGAAAATACTAGAGTGGCAAAGGACGGCTACTCAAGTTTTCCAAAGCCTTGTTCCTATTGGTTGATTTTTAACAACTTTTAGAAAAGATGCTGCATTGAAATTAGCATATATATTCCATGCGTGATAGTTGGAAAAAAAAAAAAAAAAAAACAGCCAATCAACTGCCTTAACAGCTATGGTTGATACTTGTATTCAAATGTTCATGTTATTGGTTGAAGAACAATTTTTGGGGGAAGACAACAATCATTTTCTACTTTTTTAAAAATTTGATTATTTAAAATTGTGATGTGAGTGAAGGTTTGTAGAGCGATTTCTTTCTCCATTCACAGTTCATGCCCATTTTGTTTTGCGACACTGATTGCAGTCCCCACTGATTACAGTCCCCACAGTGTGACAGTGCTCTTCCCACTTCCACCTGAGGTTCCTTTTTCCCTGTGTCCTTCTCTCTGGCGCATTCCTGCCCCCTGAGCCATCTCCCTGTGCCAATGCTGCCCTTCTGATCTCCCAGGATCGACTGTTCTAAGGGTTGTACCTACCTGGTTAAATGCCATTATTGATTTTAAAATCAGGTTAGTTAACAGCATCAGGCAGGATTACCTACTGTACACAGTCATAGTTTCTGAAGGTTTGGTTTTAGTAAAAAGATACATAGATCAGTTTTACTGAGGTCTCTTTCAGGGGCTTTGTCTATTCTGACATTTACTTTCTCATCTGATAAGTCGAACCCCTACTGTGTGCCAGTCATTGTTATCAGTGTGCAAACTTCACTAAGCCCTTGTGCTCATGAAGCCCATGTTGCGTATTCTACTGAGGTAGACAGTCAACAAGGAACCAGTTTAGTGTGCCAGGTGATGGTGAGTGCTGTGACAAAATAGAAGGGAGGAAGAGGAGTGACTGCAGCTTTAAATGGAGCTCTGAGGAAGGTCTAACACAGTCAAGTTGGAGCAAAGGCCCGAAGAATGGGGGATGGGGATAAGCCAAGGGAACAGCAAGGGCAAAGCCCAGACGGCTGGGGTGTGGGAAGAAAGGGACCCAAACCCACTGCCACTGAGTCGAACCTGACTCATAGCAAGCCCTCCTTGGGTTTCTGAGGCGGTATCACTATGATATTGCCCAACCTTCCTTCCAAAGAGTGGCTGGTGGGTTGAACCACCAGCCTTCTGGTTAGCAGTCAAATGCCTTAGGCACTAGGCCACCAGAGCTCCTGGGAGGAAAGGGCGGGTGGGGGAAATGGACACTCATTGCCTAGGGCCTGCCAGGGCTTTGCAGAAGAGGGATGGAAAGCTCAGGAGCTCAAAAATCAAACAAAAAGCCCGGGCCACCTCTCTGTCCTTTACAGCAGTCAGGTCTGTTGGGGTTCAGGCCAACAGACCAGTAATCCTTTAAGCTGCTCTGGTGGCCCGATGGTTGAATGCTCAGCTGCTAACCGAAAGTGTGGTGGTTTGAACCCACTCAGCAGTGGCCCCAGAGACCTGGAAGACTGCTTCTGTGAAGATTATATGCCTGGAGAAGCCTGTGGGGCAGTTCTGCTCGGTCACGTCGGGTCACTGTGAGTTGGAATCGAGAGTCAGCAACTGGCAACAGTAACCACAGGACAACAGTCTTCTATCTACGATAAAGGAAGCTGGCAAGTACTACCCACTGCCATGGAGCTGGTTCTGACTCAGTGAGGCAGAGGGGAACTGGGTGCTGATTCTGACCCACAGCGCCCCTAGAGGGCAGAATGGAACTGCACCACAGGGTCTCCAAGGCTGTCAGTCTTTACGGATGCAAACTGCCTCATCTTTCTCCCCAAGGAGCAACTGGTGGGTTCACACTGCTGATGTTCTGGTTAGCAGGCAGTGCCTTAGCCACTGGGTCACCGGAGCAAATACTAGACTCCTAGGAAGGACGTGGGGATTTCCTGTGCGTTGTGAGGAGTTGGAGATTGCCGGGCAGCTGGTGGAAGCTTGCCCAGTGTTTCTGTCGAGCAGCACCTGCCGGGCTGTTCTTTGTTCCTGTTGGTGGGATAGGCTGACCCCTAGCAGCTCTGTCTGCCGACTCCCATCCCCTTTCATTAACAGGCTTTGTTTCCTTTCCCTAAGGAGAGTTTACATGGACTACAATGCGACCACTCCCCTGGAGCCCGAGGTTATCCAGGCCGTGAAGGAGGCCATGCAGAAGGCCTGGGGGAACCCCAGCAGTTCATACCCAGCAGGTAATTCTAGATGAAGGCACCTGCACAGTCACCCAGGGCAGGTGGGGGGACACCCTGCAGAGAAACCGCACCCCCACTCGGTCCTTCTGGTCTGAGTAGGTGTTCTGTTGACATCAGGACTGAGCTGTGCTTTTCCTGAGAAGTCCAGTTTTGTAGATTGAGCCTTGCTAACACCAGAATCTTTAACCTACATGGTCGTAGGCTCTCTTGTTTCCCTTTCCCTGATGAAAGGGTGTCTCAGGAAGAATGACTTGATAATAACCACACCTGTGGAGGCCCTTACACGGATCTGTCTCAGTCGCTCCTCAGAAATGTGCAAAATAGATCTGAAAGCAGCAGCAGCAGAATCACATATAACCCTGGCTTTTTTTTTTTTAATAAAAACTATCTTTACATTCTTTACTTTAGTTACAAATAATCCTTGTTTCTAATTCATTTCTGTTATAAACATAAACATAATGTTTAATATTAGTTTATAACATGTAATGGAACATTAAAACATATTTGGCTTAATTCAGTAGTTTGATTATGTGTTTCGGGAGGTTAAACTAAGAACCCAAGAGTCTCACCTTTCATACTTAATGTTTATTAGTTTATTAGGGGTAATTGAGATAAACTACCTTAACTGTGGATTATAATTAACTACTAAACATTCCAGCAGAATCCTGCCAAGCCCTAGGATTTAATAATGCCTTTGTACAGCTTTAAGGAGCTCTGGTGGTATGATGGTTAAGGCATTTGGCTGTTAACCAAAAGGTCTGTGGTTTGAACCCGTGAGCCACTCTGCTGAAGAAAGATTAGGCAGCCTGCATCCATAAAGATTTACAGCCTTGGAAACCCAGTGGGGGTCACTGTGAGTCAGAATTGACTCGAGGGCAGTGGTTTTGGTTTATGTACAGTTTTAAGGTGCACCAGTGACTTGGTGCTTAAAGCGCTCAGCTGCCAACTAAAAGGTAGGCACCACTTTTTGGTGGTTCAAACACACCACCACTTCGTGGGGAAAAGATGACATCACCTCCTTCCGTGGAGATTGACAGCCTTGGAAACCCTCTGGGGCAGTTCTGCTCTGTCCTCTAGGGGCGCTGTGAGTCGGCACAGACTGGATGGCAGTGAGTTTTTTGTTTATAGCTTTACAGTTTTCCAAGTGCCTTCATATCCATAGGAGCTCTGGTGGCGTAGTGCCTAAGGCGTTTGACTGCTAACCAGAAGGTTGGCAGTTCAAACCCACCAGCCACTCCGCGGAAGGAAGATTGGGCAATCTACTTCCGTAGAGGTACCACCTCAGAAACCCAGGGAGGGGTCGCTATGACTTTGATTATCAACTTGACGGCAGTGAGTTTGGTTTTGGTTTTTTCGTATCCACGTGCTCATTAGAAGTTCCACAGCAGCATCATAACAAAGCGGTTTTTCAAAAGCAGCTACCAGTCGTTCATTCGCTTATTTGTTGGTTTACTTGACACGTATATTCTGGCTCATCTTCTGGACATGGCCTTGTATCCAGTCTCTCCAGTAAACTTGAACTTCCTGGTGCATTAAACTTGAAGAGGGGGAGAACAGTTGCACTGGTCAAAGGCGTTTCATCCTGCAGGAGTTTGGGGTGAATTCTCAGGGAGACGTGATGTTTGGGGCTGGAAGCCTGTGCACAGCTTTTACCTTATATGATGCCTCTGTGGACACGCCTTGCCCTGATCCCTCTTCCCTCTCAGGCAGAAATGCAACCAGGAAAACGAAAGTACCTTCAGGACATTACTTCACAATATTATGATTTAAAGTCCTGGGAGCTGTTTGTTTTAAGGAAATGTTAAGACGTGTGGAGAGACTTTAGAGAACCAAGGTGTTGATATCTCAGTCTTGCTTATCATAGAAAAAATAGACAAACAGAAGTAACCTCAGTGCTCATCGATTTGGAAAAGGTATCATTTAATTTTGCTGCGAGAGGCAGAAGACCCTAAATAACTTCTCATACACGATTTATTTTTCTTTGGGTGGTGGACAAGGGGGGGAATTGAAATCCTCTCTCATTGCTGGTTCGTGGCCAGCCTAGACCATCCTGTCCACTTAGACCGGATGCTGTTACTGTGGTTCAGTGGGGCAGATATGGTCCACGCCATTGCTTTCACAGGGCCCAGAGCCACTGCAGGGCTTCACCAGACCGTGTGGAACCAGCCTTCCACTGACGGACATGGAGGTTGTCAGACCGTGTGGAACCAGCCTTCCACTGACGGACGTGGAGGGTGTCAGACCGTGTGGAACCAGCCTTCCACTGACGGACGTGGAGG